CCTATCCCCTGTGTGCCTTGCCTCCCACGACTTTTCTATTTCTTTTTTTTTCGTATTATATAAGCAGGGTTTAAACTTAGATGCAAGATGTGCAACACCTTTAAGGCACTTCACACATAAATACTTTGATAGAACTATGGCACACTTTTAAGGCATATAAAATAAAAGAGAGATTAAACAAATTCATCCCGAACATGTGCACATGACCTCCCCATGAATTATTGATTAAAAAACTTCAGATAAAAAGGAACAAGTCATGGACTAATGATGCTATTACAATTAGCAGCCACTAGTCAGAGTTAGAATGGTTTAAAATATCTATTCTGTAAAAGCAGAACCAAGCATGAAACAGAATTGACAAAAGCAATCTGCTCAAGTGAAATATCACGAAATGCAGTTGAAGAAAAAGTTATTTATTATCAGAATATATAAAAGAGGTTTATGCTACGAAAATCCATACATGGATAGTGAATTAGAATGAGAACTCCTCAGGTAAATCCTGGAATTTGCTAGATATGAAATCCTTGTACTTAGCTCTGAGATCTCCAACTGCAGCCACATACAAAAATAAAGAATCCAAATAAACAAAAAGGTCGAAAATACCACTAAAGTGAGAACAGATATTTGAAATAAGTTACCTTTTGCGTCAGGCTCCCTTCCTAGTGTGCTTTCAGGTAAGTTCTTCGATAGGGCTGATTCCACCACCTTAAGAAACTCTTGGCCTAACATATAAAAACAAGATAAATTAGTATTTTGGACTTTCCATACGTTGCTCAAATTATAGTCTTCTTAACAAGTTTCAAAAATGTAGAAATTTGATTTCTACAAGGAATAATAAGGGCATAGTTTGAGCAAATTATGGCAGTCTAATATTTCCTACTTGAACTCATTCAAAGCAGTGCTATGCCTTTGATTAAACTTCAATACTATCTAGATCCTTTTGAATCTGAGAAGAGGTTCCTTCTTATCAGCATCAATTTTAAACATCAAGGAATTTCCAAGAAAAAAAAAGAGAAGCTTACAAAGTAACTATAAATAGTTTTCAGATCTGAAGTCTGCGGCAACCGTAAGATACCCAACGAGCATTACCGATTTTGCAAGGTGCTAATACCATGTCAGAAAAGTTATTATGTAAAATGAGTTTAGCTAAATAGAGATTTTGCAGGGTCTCTGTGCATGGCATGTCCGCATGTGCATGTATTTGTATGAATGCATGTGAAAGAATTTCTATAATGATGAAGTTTTTTAAACTATTCAATTCTCTTTCCAAAATTTTCCTTACTGGAATTTTGCATTTTTCATTTTGGCAAATTTTCCAACTACTTTATTTCTGGTCATTTTCTAGAATAAAGGAAAATTGAGTCCTTCGAAACCATAGGCCTCAAGCGAAAAAGGGTTGCGTCAAGTATAGTGAAATTTTGGGTCATTTAATATGTATAGATACATTTCCAGTGTCTCATTCGACTACCATTGGTTTCAAATGAACTGCATGTGCCTACTACCACAAGAGGTCAGTCTTAAAGATATGGAACCTAGCATCAGCATTTAGATCTGGCAATGGACATGGACAAGGATATGTAGTTTTATTGGCTATTCAGAGTAAGACTAAATGACTATGAACACAAGAATGAACATAATATGCAAAATGAAGCTCATATTTTCGCGTACCAGTCAGATGCTTTCCACCCACAGTGGGATTGATAAAAAAGGTGGGAATCTCCTTACTGCTCAACTGCAAGAATACAAAGAATAAAATAAAATAAAAAGAAAAAGTTACTCCTGAGGCTAGTCTGGGGTGTTAAATCAACTACAAAATGACTAATAGTGAAGAAAAAAAAGAAATTAACTAAACTAACTCTCAACCTGCGATAATAGTCCCTTTGCAAGTTCCAAAGGGGTAAGAGATGGAGGTGCACCAAATGCAGGCACAAACTTTCCATCCTGGTACCCTGCCAAAAAGTGATACGCAGCTTGGCCCGGGGAAAGCTTGGATAGGGAAGGAATGACACCTGAACTGGAATTTGTGTGGACACATGTTCACTTTATGTCAATAATCTTATCTCTCCAAAATTAACAAAGTCGTCAATTTCTAAATGAAGGAAAAATCAGATATTGTCAAACGGCCTGTGGAAATTATTGGGGTCATCACTGTTCAAAGAAATGATGTTTGGTGAGGAAGAGAAAGAGGGCCCACGAATATTGTCATGTGTAATTCTGGTCGGTCCCATTCTTTATTCATCAGCATCCACAAGTTCATTCAACAGTGATGACCCCATTGGACTAAGGTTTTCTATATAGTTTCCCTTAAATAGAACTAAAGCAAATTGGTTGCGACTTACTTATCAACAAATGAGAACACCACAGCAGCTGGAGTTTTCAACAGATTTGGTGCATTAGAATCGTATGTTCGAAATTGTGGTGCTACCCCATCAGAAGACAGAACTACACCTGCGTCCTTCGATACTAACATCTTTTGCAACTCTGAGAAATTCTTAATAGTGGCCTCTGAAGCAAATAGCAGAATCACAGAGTCGCCGGAAACAAGAAGCCTAAACGATGTGAACCCAAATTACCAACAATCTCATTTTATTTTCTTCTCCATATTATTATCATTTGGTTAACTTACCAATTGAAACTCTCGAGTTTGTTTTTTCTGATATCGAGGAAAGTAGACTATCAAAGTACTACGTATAGGAACAAAGTACAATTCTTGTTTGGCCTTCACAAGAAGTGTTTGCCACCAACACTTCTTATAACATTACTTAGTCACATTTGCCATTGTTCAAACTAGAGGAGGAGATGATGAGAGCAAGGATTTGGATAACGAGAAATTGATAATCTTTACCTGGCAGAGAGAGGGAGACCTCCCCTTGCAAATATTGTTGGTGCCACACTGGCAGCCAGTGCCTCTTTTGTGGCAGAAATATCAGTAAAAGCTCTACCACACAAAACAAGCGATGCCCGTTCACTATCAGCAGCCAGAAATCCATTATTTGCTCCAATACCAATGATCTCTCCAGTACTTGCACTGAGTCATTTTTAAGAAGACTTAGAACACCCAGTACTTATCAAGATTTAGAAATCAGGTATAACCTATATATGAGAAAAGTTTGCAAAACATAAAGTTAAAATTCGCTGCATCAATCATGCATGTCCTTTCTTTTGTGCTATGAAGTCCAATAGACTAGAGAGGAAATCTGGTCCATTAGAGATATCAACATCTGAATGAAATAAGATGGTGATGAAGCCAGAGTGGACGACCCATTGGGGTCATGACGCACTCTTTCTCCATCACCATCCATAACTTTATTGGACAGTCATGACTTCAATGGACTATGCTTTTCCCAGTTCATTCCACAATAGTATAATCTACCTTTTCCTTTTACCTAGGGTTGGTTCGTAAAAGAATCCAACATGAGAACAGATTTTTGGCTCTCAGGCATAGAGCAGTATGACAAATCAGTACAAAATCCATAATCCAGATCATCAATTTATAGTTAAGATCTACATGTGATTTAAAGCGATGACGCGTGACC